TATTGGGCAAAATACTATTTTTTTTTATTTAAAAATTAAAAACTTTTATAATTAAATTACATTTTAAAAAAAAATATATCAACTTTTTTATTACCCCATTATAAAAATTATACCCCCTCTCAAAAAATAATTTTTCTGAGGGGCGTTAGGGTAGTTAGACAGCTTTTGGAGGATAGTGGGAAATGAGGATAGGAATGGGGTCGAAGAGGTTGGAGTGGTTTAAAAAATGTATTTTTTTGAGTGTTCAGAGAAGTTTGGGGTTTTCGGGAAAGTGGGGGCGGGGGGGAAAGAGGAGCGATTGGTGGAATGATGATGTGAAGAGAGTGTAAGGGAGAAAAAGTTAGCATATGAGAATTTTTTACAAGTAAAAAGTGATGCAAGGGGGGAAGAGTATTGGAGAAAAGAGAGAGGTTAAGGAGTGGTGAAGCAATGTAAAAAGAGGCAAATGAGAGGGGGTGGGTGAGATGTTATCAAAAATTTTTTTAAAATAAAAAAAGTTTTTGGGGTGAGTTAAAATTAAAAAAGCTAGGAACAAAGGATTGTCAGTTAAAAATAGGGGAGGAGGTTATTAAAAGGAGAGTAGGGTTTGGGAAGATGGGGGAATATTTTGAGGAATTTAAAATGTTGATGAAAATAAAGGGAAAACTGTGATTTCGTGTAAAGGAAAAGGGGGAAAAAAATCTTGTAGGGGTGAGAAAGAGCCCGTTGTGAGTGTGGGGGAAGTTCGTGAGGCAGTAGGTTAAAAAGAAAAGGGGGTAAGGCAGCCGGGATTGTGGGTAAAGATGAAAAGTTAAAAACAGGTGGGGATATAGTTTTGGAAATGGGTTTGGGCAATTATTTAATAAAAGTATGGAAGAGGGTAAGGTACCTAGGGATTGGCAGAGGCATGCATAGTTCCCTTTTTTAAAAGGGAAAGGGGGTAAAAGGAGGCAAAAATTATAGGGGGATAAATCTGTTGAGTTCCCGGCAAAGTGTATGTAAGTTATTTTGAAAGAATTAAGGTAAGAGGGATAGGTAGCGATGAAAAAAGGGGCTTTAGGAAAGGTAGGGGGTGTGTGGCCAGGTGTTTTTCAGTGAAACTATAAGTGAACAGTATTTAAAGGCTAAAGGGTCTTTGTGGTATTTATGGATTTGGAAAAAAGGGGATGAAGGGTGGATGGGGGGGAATGTGGCAGTGTTGCGGTGTTTGGTGTAGGAGGTGGTTACGAAAGCGTGAAAAGGGTTTTTTCGAGGATAATGAAGTCAAGTTGGTATGTAGGAGGAGGGAAAATTTCTAGTTTAAAAATAGGGCCCTTGACAAGGATGTGTGATGTCCCGTGGTTGTTTAATATTTTTATAGATGGGGTTGTAAGAGAAGTAAATGCGAGGGCTTGGCAAGAGGCGTGGAGTTAAAAAATAAAGAATACACCTAAAGTGGGGTTTGTACAGTTGCTCTTTGCTGATGAACTTGCTCTTGGGAGTTCTGAAGAAAGTTGCAGGTTGGTGGTGAAATTTGGTAGGGTGTGCAAAAAAAAGAAAATTGAAAGTGAATACAGGAAAGAGTAAAGGTTTTGGGATAACAAAAAAGATTAGGGGATGAAAGATTGGATATCAGATTTGGGGGGAGAGAGTATGGAGGAGGTGAATGTTTCAGATATTTGGGGTGGCGTTTTCAGCGGATGGGTCTATGAAAGATGAGGTGCATAGAATTGATGAGGGGAAAAAAGGGGGAGTGGTTTCCTTAGGAGTCTGTGGAGACAAAAGAAATTTGTCCTTGGGGCAAAAAAGGGGGAAAGTAGAGAGTATAGTTTTTCCCCTCTTTTATGGGTGTGAAGCGGGTGATGAATGTTGCACGAGGAGAAAGGGTGGAGGCAGTGGGTGTCATGTTGAGAGCAATGTGTGGTGTGAATATAAAGCAGAGAATTCGTGTTGGAAGTTAGGGGGAGGTGCGGTTACCAAAAATGTTGTCCGAGGGTGAGGAAAAGGGTTTTGGGGGGTTCGGAATGTGGGGAGAATGGAGCGAACAGAATAACTTCAAAAGTGTATCAGTCTGTAGTGGAAGGAAGGCGGGGTGGGGGCGGCCCCAGGAAAGGTTGGAGGGAGGGGGGTAAAAGGGGGTTTTGTGTGCAGGGGTTGGGGTTCCAGCAGGCATGCGTGAGCGTGTTTGATACGAGGAATGGAGACAAAAGGTTTTTAAAATTGGTGCTGTTGGAGTGGAGCAAAATAAATTTTGAAGGGGTTCAGGGAAACGGCGGCCGGGCTTGAGTTGGGGATGGGAAGTACGTGCCTGCACCCGAAGGAGGGGTTTTAATGTTGCAGTTTAAAAAATGAGTGTAAAACCCCCTTTGGCAAGACAGTAAAAGGAGTGAATGTGGGAAAGTTTTTTTTTTTCGGGTCCCCCCTGCCCTTGGTGGGAATGGCGTGTGATAAAAAAAAATATATTTAATATATATATTTATATATTTTATATATAAATTTATTTATTATTATATATATAATATATATATATTTGGTGTGTGTGTGTGTGTGGGTGTGTTTTTGGGGTGGTGTGTGTGTGTGTGTGTGTGTGTGGTTTTGGTGTGTGTGTTTTTGTGTGTGTTTGTTTTTTTCTGTCGGGGGAACCCCAAAAGAAAGAAAAAACTTTTATATTCTTTTTTAAATCTTTAACACTATACATTATCCGTCTTTATACAGGCGCCCCAAATAAAAGTTTAGATGTTCTCCAAAATTTTCCAAAATCCCCAAAATTTTCCCTTTTAAAATGAGGCTTATCTCCCCCTTCCAGGCTTTGTCCCGGCCCAACTGATTTCTGAATCCCCTTACAAAAAATTACGTGCTCACATCGAACAGTTTTCGGTCCCAAAAAACCCCCTTGTCTCCATTCATACAATCTAACACGCAGCACGCTTTCTGGGGAAATCCCAAACCCCATCTCCCACGAAACCTCCTTTACCCCATCTTTCAAACCTTTTCAAGGATGACCCCTACCCCGTGTTCCTTCCACTACAGATTTATACGCTCTCAAAGTCATTCTGCTTTGTTCCATTCTCTCTAAATAACCAAACCAGCCCTCTAATACTTTTAGTAACTCCACACCTTCTCCTAATTCCACGCTACGAATTCTCTGCATAATATTTACACCACACATTGCCCTTAGACAGGACATCTCCACTGCCTCCAGCCGCCTCCTCGCTGCAGCATTTACAACCCAAGCTTCACACTCATATAAGAGTGTTGGTACCTCTATTCTCTTGTACATTCCCTTCTTTGCCTCCATGGATAATGTATTTTGTCTCCACAGATACCTCAATGCATCACTCACCTTTTTTCATCCATCAATTATATGGTTAACCTCTGCCTTCATAAACCAATCTGCTGACAAGTCAACTTCCATATACCTGAGCACGTTCACTTCTGCCATACTTCCTTCCTCCAATGTGATATCCAGTTTTTCTTTATCTAAATTGTTTGATACCCTCATCACCTTACTCTTACCTATGTTCACTTTCAACTTTCTACCTTTACACACACTCCCAAACTCGTCCACTAACCTTTGCAACTTTTCTTTAGAATCTCCCTTAAGCACAGTGTCATCATCAAAAAGTAACTGTGTCAACTCCCATTTTGTATTTGATTCCCCATAATTTAATCCCACCCCTCTCTCGAACACCCTAGCATTTACTTCTTTTACAACCCCATCTATAAATATGCTGAACAACCATGGTGACATTACATATCCCTGTCTAAAGACTCCTACACACCCTAACCTGAGCCTCACTATCCTCGTAACAACTCTTTACAACCTTTATGAACTTACCACCTGTTCCATACACCTGCAACGTCTAACACATTGCTCCCCTATCCACTCTATCATATGCTTTTTCTAAATCCAATAAATACAATAAAAACTTCCCTACCTTTATCTAAATACTGTTCACATACATGCTTCAATGGAAACCCATTCTAAATCCTCCTTGCTCTTCTGCAATACTGGTCTCCGTCTTACCTCTAATTCTTTCAATAATAACCCAACAATTCACTTTACCTCTTATACTCAGTAAACTTATTCCCCTATAATTTTTACAATCTCTTTTGTCCCCCTTCCCTTCATATAAAGGGACTATACATACTCTCTGCCAATCCCCAGGTACCTTCCCCTCTTTCATACATTTATTAACAAAAATACCAACCACTCCAACACTATATCCTCCCTTGCTTTTAACATTTCTGTAATGATCTCGTCAGCTCCAGTTACTTTACTCCCTTTCATTGTACGTAATGCCTCACGCGCCTCCCCCACACTCACATCCTGCTCTTCTTTACTTCTAAATGATGTTATACCTTCCTGGCCAATGCATAAAATTACTGACTCCCTTTCTTCATCAACATTGAAAAGTTCCTCAGAATATTCTCGCCATTTACCCAATACCTCCAGCTCCCCATTTACTAACTCCTTTACTCAGTTTAATCTGACAAATCCATTCGTTCCCTAGGCTTTCTTAACCTGTTTATCTCACTCCAATTTTTTTTCTCATTCTCGGCAAAATTTGTTGATCACGCCTCACCCATTCTATCGTTTCTTCTCCTTTTGCACTCTCTCACCACTCTCTTCTCCTTTCTTTTACTCTCCATATACTCTGCCCTTCTTATATCACTTCTGCTTTGTAAAAACCTCTCATAAGTGACCTTTTTCTCTTTTATCGCACCCTTTACCTCATTCGACCAATCACTCCTCTTTCCTCCTGTACCCATCCTCCTATAGCCACAAACTCTGCCCCACACTGCAACCCCTCCCCCCCAACACCCATACTTTTACTAGCCCGGCTTTCTGCCATTAGTTGCTTATATCTCACCCTAACTTCCTACTCTCTTAGTTTATAAACTTTCACCTCTCTCTTACTTGCTGTTGCCATTTTCCTTTTGCCCCGTCTACCTCTTACTCTAATTGTAACTACAACTAAATAATGATTCGATATATCTGTTGCCACTCTATAAACATGCATATACCTTTTTATTAACAGACCTGTACCTACCGCCTCCCCGACCTCGAAGTCACGCTGGACGCAGAAGGCGAGCGGTGGCATCGGGTCAGACCATGATGGTGAGCTTGGGGGTCAAGCAGCTCGTCAGTGCGCCGCCCTCACACACGCAAAACATTATCCTTGACACCGAAGGGGAAAATCTCTTGTTAGAGGTAACCGATTCTGGCCGAGTTGTGTTACCACTTCGTGAAGCTCGTCCGCTCATCGAAGAAGTGGAGCTGGACTACAGAACATTGCTCTCCAAGGCGTTGGTTAAAGACAAAGACACTCAGCTTGAAATAACACTGCGCGGGGAACCTAAATATTCTTACATGACATCAAGTGAGGGTGTCTCCTCGTCGTCATTGTCGGGATATAGCACTCTCCTACTATCGCTGATGATTTTGGCTATGGTCGTAGGAGTGATAGCTGTTGTCAGAGCCTTCAAGATGACACGCAAAGTCCAAAATACAAGTTTTCTGCCAGCTTAAACTTTCTCAGTCACTGATGAGAAATGCTGAAAATTTATTGTTTAATAAGAATTTACATTTATATATCTTGTAAATTTAATGTTAAAATTATAGAGAACGGTAGAACAATCATGGTTTATATTGGCTTATGGTTAATTGCTTAAGAAGTCGAAAAGAAAGAAAAAATAATTAGTTTCTCTGTTAAACTAATTACAGCAAATTAAAAAATTTTCTCCGAGCTGGCTCAGAGATACAAATTTATTACAGTGTTTTCAGTAATGCAATAGCTAAATTTATGAGAAATACTGGAGAATATCAAATTTCAAACTATTCTTGTGATATGAAAAATTCCTCACTGGTAAACAACTCGACTTAGGCCACTGTACGGAAAATTGGGCTGTCACATATACCACATATATAACATATATAAAGGACTCTTGCCATAAGTTAGGAAGAACTTGATTATTATTATAATCAAAACTAAGCGTTAAACCACCAGGGCCATACATCGATGCCGGAAAAAGTTGAACATGGCTTCCCTCACTACAGCCGGCTGTCGTTAGGTGTACTGCCGTGTTTGTGACGCCAATATTAGTGTTCTAGGGAGAGTAGCATGTGCAGTATTATTGTTCAAGTCTCAGCCCATCTCCTCTACCAGTGTCTTTCTTTGTATTATGGATTCATGTTTCTGTGTTGGAAATCCTAGAATGAGCAATGAGACTCATTAGGGTGTCCAGGAGTGAGAATCACTATGGTGTCCAGGAGTGAGACTTACTAGGGTGTCCAGAAGTGAGGCTCACTAGGGTGTCCAGGAGTGAGACTCACTAGGCTGTCTAAGAGTGAAACTCAAGACACTGAGGAGTAAGGACCTCACCAGAGAGTAAGATTAATTTACTAGTATAGTGGTTAATGTTCTTGGGATAACTAGTTATTAGAGGCTGCTAAGTGATCTAAATGACTAATGGTCGTTGCTAAGTGATCCAGACGACTAATGGCTGTTGCTAAGTGATCCTGATGACTAATGGTCGTGATGTAAGATTATGATTATTTCTCCGGCCATCTATCCATGTAATTATTTAAAGTTTTAATCAATAATTTTAACCTTACAGGAATTTACGCCGTGCCATCATTTCCTGGGGATACATAATAACAAATGAACTGTGATGTAAACAGATTCACAGTTCACTTTCACGTAGAAGGATTCCTTACAGTGCAGTAGTGTATCTTATTATGGAATAATGAACTTTCTCTCCTTGTAGATTTTTCTTCCAGATATTTAAAGAAATATTAAAGGAAATCTTTGGTTAAAATATGTATGGAATATAGCTTTAAAAAATGATTAGCTTCTCTGGTATATATAAATTCACTGACTTGGCCCAAAATTTTACGTTTAATAATTTATGTGTGGCAATGTTTACTTCTAACTTGTTATTAGTTAGATGGCAATATGAAAGTCAAAGGAATCTTGATAGGTAAATATTGCTTTACAGAGGGAATTTATCTTAGGATTAGGTATTGAAAACATAAGAGAAAATATCGATCAAGCAAAGTTGTAATAATTTTGTTTCAAATACGTTGCTCGGTTGGTTCATGGGGTTTGAAGCCTATCCACTACAATAGAATAATTAAGGATGTACTTACTTTTCACCACAAGTCAAGAATACATGTAAGAGTAGAATTAGAGTGAACTCTCAGCAGTGTTGTTATTGATTCAGTACCACTCATTTGTGGTTACAATAATTGTATATATATATATATATATATATATATTATATATATATATATATATATATATATATATATATATATATATATATATATATATATATATATATATATATATATATATAATATATATACTTAAAAGCATGTTTGCACGTGTTTCAGGCAATATTTAGTAAGTGTTCACAAATGCCCAGGAAAATAAAGCCCATTGCTCCAGTGAGTTAGTATTCACTACTAAGCGTAAACTCGCTTAGCTCTTTTCTACTTTAAACATATATACGATGATAATTTTAGTTAAATTGAAAATTACCTTCTGGTGTTCAATATGTGATGGAGGCTCCAGGGTCAGTTGTCTGAGGTAGTGGGTGTGTTGTGTCCCGGGATGTGCATGTCTAATAAATATTTTTCAGAAATTTATTCTTTTTATTTCCTTAATCAATAAAATCCTTGCTGTTCAATCTTTATTATTATTATTATTATTATTATTATTATTATTTATTATTTCATTATTATTATTATTCCTTCATGATGAAGTAGAGAAAATCTACCCTCCGTCAACTATGCGTGTCGTAAGAAGAAACTAAAATGCTTGAGGGATTTAACAAACAAAAAGACTTCGCAAGACCAGTGATCCTGAGTGATCTTCCTGAAGAATGGGTACCACCAGAGCCAATCTATGTTCAAGACAGATAAAACCATTCTTATTGCTGATATGTGACATCTAACCTAGCAACATCTAAAAGCCACCTACGGCAAAAAAAAACACCTCAGAAACAGATCAGGTGACTACCAACTCCAGCAGGTACTTTACATCTAGCCCAAACTTCTTGTCTTCTGTGCTGAGAAAAAAAAATTGGCAGTTACAAAAATATACTTGCCACCAACTCACTGTCATGCACGTATACATCTCGTATACAAGTGTTTCTGATAGGTAGTGTGGTATACATGGTCAGCTGATTATACATAACACACACACACCTTTTAATAAACGCCAAAGTGGTTGGGCCACTTCTCTTTATTACCTCGTCCCCTCACATCCACTGCATTCCATTCTCACCCACCTTTCCACTGAATTCCATCCTCGCCCACCTTTCCACTGCACTCTATCCTCACCCATCCCTTTTCCTCCCCAACTTACCAAACCTATAGTTAAAGAATTGAACGTCCATATTACAGCAGACTCGGAAATAAATAGAGACCTACCGAAAAAGTACGTGAAACCAAAACATCAGCCATTTCAACTCCAGTCTGAGTACTGATGCAAACTCGGCTAAAGACTACCATGGTCACCGCTACAGACCTAAAAAAACAACCATTACACAAACAACACAGCCCCTTTACAGATGTAGTAGAGGATGAGTGTGTTTCAGGAAACAAGGTTGGTCTACTAGACATAGCTGTTGTTGATGTTTCTGGCAACATTTCGGAAGATAGTAGTGGAGTTCTAGAAAATACACAGAATGAGAACCCATCTGCGAGGATAATGAGGGGATAAAAAATGAGAACTTTCAAAACAAGTGATCACAAGCCAATGATGATCCTTCTCAAATTACCTGTTCTCTCTAGGCTGGAATACAGCTGTACACTAACAGCTCCATTCAAGGCAGTTGAACTCGCAGATCTATAGAATGTATAGAGAAGCTTTACTGCATATACAGGTTCCGACAGACATCTTAATTACTGGGAACACTTGGAATCACTTGACCTGCACTCAGTGGAGTGCAGGCGAAAGATATTTATCATAATCAACATCTAGAAAATCCTATAGGGACTGGTCCCAAATCTTCACACAGAAATCACTCAGTACGAAAGCAAAAGACTAGGTAGACAGTAGAACATACCCTCACCTCTCCCCAATGAAAAGTAGGGGCGCCATTAGTACACTAAGATAAAACACATTAGGTGTCTAGGGCTAGAGACTGTTTAATATCCTCCCTTCAAGAGGGAGCTGAACAGGCACAGCCGGAGCCCAGCCAGTTGTATAGCAGGGTGTAGCCACTGGGTATGGTAGGATGTAGCCAGTGGATATGGCAGGGAATAGCCACCGGGTATGGTAGGATGCAGCCAGAGGGTGTGGTAGGGTGAAGCCAGTGGGTATGGTAGGGTGTGGCCAATGGGTATGGTAGGTTGAAGCCAGTGGGTATGGTAGGATGTAGTTAGTGGGAATGGTAGGATGCAGCCAGAGGGTATGGTACGGTGAAGCTAGTGGGTATGGCAGGGTGTAGTCACTGGGGTATGGTAGGATGTAGCCAAAGGGAGTAGCAGGGTGTAGCCAGTGGGAATGGTAGGGTGTAGCCAGTAGATATGGAAGGATGTAGGCAGTGGGTTGGTAGGGTGTAACCAGTAGGTATGGTAAGGTGTGGCCATTGGGTATGTTAGGGTGTAGCCAGTGGGTATGGAAGGGTGTAGCCAGTGGGTGTGGTAGGGCGTAGCCAGTGGGTATGGTAGGATGTAGCCACTGGGTTTGGTTGGATGTAGAAAGTGAGTGTGGTAGGGTGTAGCGAGTGGGTATGGTAGGGTGTAGCCACTGGGTATGGCAGGATGAGGCCAGAGGGTGTGGTAGGGTGTAGCCAGTAGGTATGGTAGGATGTAGCCACTGGGTTTGGTTGGATGTAGAAAGTGGGTGTGGTAGGGTGTAGCGAGTGGGTATGGTAGGGTGTAGCCACTGGGTATGGCAGGATGAAGCCAGAGGGTGTGGTAGGGTGTAGCCAGTGGGTGTGGTAGGGTGTAGCCACTGAGTATGGTAGGATGTAGCCTGAGGGTGCGGTAGGGTGTAGCAAGTGGGTATGGTAGGGTGTAGCCACTGGCTATGGCAGGATGTAAACAAAGGGTTTGGTAGGGTGTAGCCAGTGGGTATGGAGGGGAGAAACAGTGTGTATGGTAGGGTGTAGTCATTGGGTTTGGTAGGGTGTATTCAGTGGGTATGGTAGAGAGTAGCCAGTGTGTATGGTAGGGTGTGGCCAGTAGGTATGGTAGGGTGTAGCCAGTAGGAATGGTAAGATGTAGCCAATGGGTATGGTAGGATGTATCCAGTGATTAATGTACGATGTAGCCAGTGGGTATGGCAGGGTACAGCCAGTTGGTTTGGTAGGGTGTAGCCAGTGGGTATGGTAGGGAGTGGCCTGTGGGTATGGAAGGGTTTGGCGAGTAGGTATGGTACGGTGTAGCCAATAGGTATGGCAGGGTGTAGCCATTGGGTATGGCAGGGTACAGCCAGTTGGTAGGGTAGGATGTAGCCAGTGGGTATGGTAGCGTGTACCCAATGGGTGTGGTAGGGTGTCACCAGTGGAAATGGTAGGATATTGCCAGTGGGTATGGTAGGGTGTAGCCAGTAGATCATGTAGGGTGTAACCAGTGGGTTTGGAAGGGTGTATCCAGAGAGTATGGTAAGGTGTAGCCAATGGGTATGGTAGGGAGTAGCCACTGGGTGTGGTAGGGTGTAACTAGTGGGTATGGTAGGGTGCAGCCAGTAGGTATGGTAGGATGTAACCAGTGGGTTTAGTAGAGTGTAGCCAGTGAGTATGGAAGGGTGTAACCAGTGGGTTTGAAAGGGTGTAGCCAGTGGGTATTGTAGGATGTAGCCAGTGGGTATGGTAGGATGTAGTCAGTGGGTATGTGATGGTGAAGCCATTGGGTATAGTAGGGTGTAGAAAGTGGGTATGGTAGGGTGTAGCCAGTGGGTATGGTAGGGTGTAGCCAGTGGGTTTGGTAGGGTGTACCACTGAGTATGGTAGGGTGCAGCCAGTGGGTATGGTAGGGTGTAGCCAGTGGGTGTGGTAGGGTGTAGCCATTGGGTATGGTAGGGTGTGGTAGCAAGTAGATATGGAAGGGTGTAGGCAGTGGGGTTGGTAGGGTGTAGCCAGTGGGAATGGTAAGGAGTAGCCATTGGGTATAGTAGGGTGTAGCCAGTGGATGTTGTAGGGTGTAGCCAGTAGGTATGGTAGAATGTAGCCAGTGGGTTTGGTAGGGTATAGCCAGTGGGTATGGTAGGGTGTAGCCGATAGATATGGAAGGGTGTAGGCAGTGGGTTTGGTAGGGTGTAGCCAGTAGGTATGGTAAGGTGTGGCCATTGGGTATGGTAGGGTGTAGCCAAGGGGTATGGAAGGCTGTAACCAGTGGGTGTGGTAGGGTGTAGCCACTGGGTATGGTAGGATGTAGCCAGAGGGTGTGGTAGGGTGTAGCCCATGGGTATGGTTGGGTGTAGCCACTGGGTTTGGTAGGATGTATAAAGAGGGCGTGGTAGGGTGCAGCGAGTGGGTAAGGTAGGGTGTAGCCACTAAGTGTGGCAGGATGTAGCCAGATGGTGTGGTAGGGTGTAGCCCGTGGGTATGGTAGGGAGTAGCCACTGAGTATGGTAGGATGTAGTCGGAGGATGTGGTAGGGTGTAGCCAGTGGGTATGGTAGGGTGTAGCCACTGGGAATGGTAGGATTTAGTAAGAAACTGTGGTAGGGTGTATCCATTGGGTATGGTAGAGTGTAGATAGTGGGTATGGTAGGGTGTAGACATTGTATTTGGTAGGGTGTATCCAGTGGGTATGGTAGGGTGTAGCCAGTGGGTATGGTAGGGTGTAGCCAGTGGGTATGGTAGGGTGTAGCCAGTGGGTATGGCAGGGTGTAGCCAGTGGGTATAGTAGGGTGTAGCCAGTGGGTATGGTAGGGTGTAGCCAGTGGGTATGGTAGGGTGTAGCCAGTGGGTATGGTAGGGTGTTAGCCAGTGGGTATGGTAGGGTGTAGCCAGTGGGTATGGTGTAGGGTGTAGCCAGTGGGTACGGTAGGGTGTAGCCAGTGGATATGGTAGGGTGTAGCCAGTGGGTATGGTAGGGTGTAGCCAGTGGGTATGGTAGGGTGTAGCCAGTGGGTATGGTAGGGTGTAGCCAGTGGGTATGGTAGGGTGTAGCCAGTGGGTATGGTAGGGTGTAGCCAGTGGGTATGGTAGGGTGTAGTCAGTGGTTTGGTAGGGTGTAGCCAGTGGGTATGGCAGGGTATAGCCACCGGGTAT